CGCGACGCGTTAATGATAACGTTTAATTAGTTATCGCGCGAACGAATCACGCGCAGTTCTTTTATTGTCCGCTTCTCCCGGGAGAAAACGCACGAGAGTCGCACACCGAACGGTAGAAATTGAGGCAAGAGAATATATCGACTAAAAAAAAAAAAAAAAAAAAAAAAAAAAAAAAAAAAACAGACAGGTGCGCTCAAGTCTCTTGCGTGTTTGCAGGGAGATTACATATGGATCGAACCAATCTCAGGACGGGAATTCGACGTCGCGATCGGAGCGCGAGTAATCTCGGCGGAAGGCAGACGCATTCAAGTAAAGGACGACGACAACAAGGTAAAACAAGAATTTTACTCGCGTGCTTTGGAAAAAATTCTCATGTGCACGAGACGTGAAAATTTCAAGAAAACCTTCATCTTCGTTAATTATGTCGTTTTTTTTTATATTTATTACATTCATTCGCGCGTTAATTCGATTGATTTTTTTTTTTTGCAATTACTTCTGTCTAGATTTCACATTATTGATTGAATTTTACTGAAGAGAATTCAAAGAAATTGCGCAACACTTTTATCAAACTTGAAACAATAAATATTCGCGCGCTTACGTCAGCGTCGACGTCCATCTATTTGGTCTCTTGTACTTTCTTATTTTTAATACACGTTTTGTTGGACGAGAATATAATTTCGAAAACTTAAAAAAAAAGAAAACCTAGTTCAAGATTTTTATTGCGTCGTTGTCGCAAAGATCGAGAATGTGGAACGGATTGTGTATATCTCTGTGTTGATAAAAGTTTCGCCGAGGTGAAATCGTTCGAAAGAACGTATTCCACTTGTTTCTCGGAGTGCTTAATTATTTTACTACAATTGATTCGACGTGCTGATGCGGCAAACACACACTTCGATGTATATAGGAACAATGGCTGACGCCGGAGAGACGGATAAAGGCCATGCATGCCACCTCGGTGCAAGGTGTCGAAGATATGATCAGTTTAGGCGACCTCCATGAGGCAGGCATTCTGCGAAATCTGCTAATACGTTACAACGAGAATCTCATCTACGTAAGTAGATCCGCGGCTGCTTTTTTGAGGTCGCGACACGAAAGAAAGCGCCGCAATGAAATATATGTTTAGTTAAGCGCCGTGTATTAATGATGACGAGCAACAATCTTTTTTTTTTTTTAATTCCGCAGACGTACACGGGCTCGATCTTGGTCGCCGTCAATCCGTACCAGATACTGCCTATTTATACGGCGGAGCAAATCAAACTGTACAAGGATCGTAAAATCGGCGAGCTGCCGCCGCACATATTTGCCATCGGCGATAACAGTTACGCGCACATGAACCGATACGGCCAGGATCAGTGTATAGTGATCAGGTATATATGGGATTGAAAACAAATTTAGAAGCGACGAAATGGCTCTGAATGAATTCAAACAACAGTAAATACTATAGAGAGAGCCAGAACACATCAATGATAGTGTGTTGAAGACAATAATTTATTGAATTAACTCGTAAGAGACAAAAAATAAGTGCAATTTTATTATAAGTTTATTCGATAAATTATTGTTTTCAACACACCATCGTCGGTGTTCTTTGATCCCTACTGGGGAGATCCTCTCTATATCATTTATCATGGTTTGAATCATTAAACATACACAGGCTGGCGCGATTTACGACGAACATGTAGGTGGAAAACATTTATCTATTTGTTTCACAGCGGCGAGAGCGGCGCGGGAAAGACAGAAAGTACGAAGTTAATTCTGCAGTACCTGGCGGCGATCAGCGGAAAGCACTCGTGGATCGAACAGCAGATTTTAGAAGCGAATCCGATACTCGAAGGTGAAATTACCGCGCCGCTTGAATTATTATTTGCGCGCGAACCGATCGGCTTATCGAAATTTGCGTTTTCAGCCTTTGGCAACGCGAAAACCGTGAGAAACGACAACTCATCCCGTTTCGGCAAATACATCGACATCCACTTTAACGATCAGGGCGTGATAGAAGGCGCCAAGATCGAGCAGTATCTTTTGGAGAAGTCGCGAATCGTGTATCAGAGCTCGGACGAGAGGAACTATCACATCTTCTATTGCATGCTGGCCGGTCTCTCGAGAGAGGAGAAGCAGAAGCTCGAGCTCGAAGACGCGTCCACGTACAGATATCTCACAGGGGTATAAAAACGAGAATCACAGTGTCATATTCTTATGTAACAACTTTTTCCTCAAACTTTTTGTTCTAAACGCAATTAGCATGTTTCTTTTCTTTCAGGGAGGCAGCATTACCTGCGAGGGACGTGATGACGCGGCCGAATTCGCCGACATTAGATCCGCCATGAAAGTCCTCCTGTTCTCCGACGTGGAGATCTGGGAGGTGCTCAAGTTGCTCGCGGCTCTGTTGCACATGGGCAACATAAAGTACAGAGCCACCGTCGTAGGTATGGAAATGAATTACGAGAATGCCCAAAAAGTAAAGAAAAGAAAATTATAAGTTTAACTCAGAGCTCTGGGATCAGGATTTTTTAATTCCCGTCGATTGGATTCGCAGATAATTTAGACGCCACGGAGATACCGGAGCAGACGAACGTGCAGAGGGTGGCGTATTTATTGGGAGTGCCGGTGCAGTCTTTGATAGATGCGCTTACCCGCAAAACTATATTCGCGCACGGTGAGACAGTGGTGAGTGATCACGTTACATCGTGGAAGCGTGTGGAAACAATTTACTCTGTTCGAAACCGAATGAATATTTGCGTCAACAGGTCTCTACGTTGTCGAGGGAGCAGTCGGTCGACATCAGAGACGCGTTCGTGAAGGGCATTTACGGTCGCTTATTTGTACACATTGTAAAGAAAATCAACGAGGCCATATACAGGCCGAAGAACAACTCCCGGAGTGCTATAGGCGTGCTGGATATCTTCGGCTTCGAGAACTTTAATCACAACAGCTTCGAACAATTCTGCATCAATTACGCCAACGAGAATCTCCAGCAGTTCTTCGTTCAACACATATTCAAGCTGGAACAGGAAGAGTACAATCACGAGGGCATCAATTGGCAGCACATCGAGTTCGTCGACAATCAAGACGCCTTGGATCTGATAGCCATCAAACAGCTCAACATCATGGCGCTTATTGACGAGGAATCGAAATTTCCGAAGGTACGAAGAAGAATTGTTGAAGTTTTTTTTGAAAACGTAAATCGATATTTTACATTGTGCATTCATTTTCAGGGCACGGATCAGACAATGTTGGCAAAGATCCACAAGACTCACGGCAGTCATCGGAATTACTTGAAGCCGAAGTCGGACATCAACACGTCCTTCGGTCTGAATCACTTCGCGGGAGTGGTCTTTTACGACACGAGGAGCTTTCTCGAGAAGAACAGAGACACGTTCAGCGCGGACTTGTTGCAACTTATTCACATATCGTCGAACAAGTTTCTGCAAACTTGTTTCGTCGAGGACATCGGCATGGGATCGGAAACCAGAAAGAGAGCGCCCACGCTGTCGACGCAGTTCAAGAAGTCGCTGGACTCGCTGATGAAGACTCTGTGCAGCTGCCAACCTTTCTTTATAAGATGCATCAAGCCGAACGAATACAAAAAGCCAATGGTAAGAGCATCGATTCTGCAAATCTCATTCAATTTCATATAGTGTCACTACGACAACTCGCTCAAAAGCGGCATTTAATCACAGATGTTCGATCGGGGTCTCTGTTGCCGGCAATTAAGATACTCCGGTATGATGGAGACGATTAGAATTCGTCGAGCCGGTTATCCCATTCGCCATTCTTTCCCCGAGTTTGTGGAGAGATATCGGTTTCTAATCTCGGGCATTCCACCTGCGCACAAGGTATAATTCAATAAATTAATTTGGTTACAACACTGTTACGCACTCTGTCTCTCTTTTTGAAAGAGGAAAATCAAAAAATTCTGCCCTTTTATAACGTCCAGGTGGAATGTCGTGCGGCAACGTCGAAGATCTGCCACGCAGTGTTGGGTCGCTCGGATTACCAACTCGGTCACACCAAGGTCTTTCTCAAGGATGCGCACGATCTATTTCTCGAACAAGAGCGCGATCGTGTTCTCACGCGAAAAATCTTGATACTTCAGCGCAATATTCGGGGCTGGGTTTACAGAAGGCGGTTCCTGAGGATGCGAGCGGCCGCGGTGATCGTGCAGAAGTATTGGCGCGGCTACGCGCAACGTCAGCGGTACAAGCGCATGCGAATCGGTTACATGCGGCTGCAGGCGCTCATCCGATCGCGCGTGCTGTCGCACAGATTCCGACATCTGCGCGGCCACATCGTCGCGCTGCAGGCGCGCGCTCGAGGCCATCTGGTGCGCAAGATGTATCGGAAGAAGCTGTGGGCCATTGTGAAGATACAGGCGCACGTGAGACGGTTGATCGCACAGAGACGATACAAGAAGATCAAGTACGAGTACCGGCTGCACATCGAGGCGCTGCGACTTCGGAAGAAGGAGGAGCGCGAGTTGAAGGATCAAGGCAACAAACGAGCCAAAGAAATCGCCGAGCAAAACTACAGGGTAAATATGAGCAACAAACGAATACAAAAAAAAAAAAAACGCGTAAATGTGATTTCTTACTCGGGAAGTACCGAGTAAGAAAAAAAAATGAGCATAAGATATTAGCAAGACACATCATCGTGTGTAAAAAAAACATTGATCCAACGAGATGTGTTTGCTGGTTAGATTCTTTTACCGAGTCACGATTACGCAATTCGCGTGATTACGCATCACTTATTATAATACATCGCGTGTGTAAATTGCAGGAACGTATGCAAGAGCTGGAGCGGAAAGAGATCGAAATGGAGCTTGAAGACAGGCGACGAATGGAGATTAAGAAGAATCTGATCAACGATGCGGCTAAGAAACAAGACGAGCCAGTAGACGATAGCAAACTGGTCGAAGCCATGTTCGATTTTTTGCCAGATTCAAGCAGCGAAGCGCCGACTCCGGCGAGAGAAACGTCCGTATTTAATGTGAGTCGCAATTTTCATATTTTTGCTTTGAAAGGTAGAAAAATTTGTTTTTTTCTTTTTTTCAAACCAAAGGAATTTGTTTTGTTTTTTCGTTAACAGGATCTTCCAGCACCGAGAGCTGACCAGCAAGAGATAATCAGTCCGATTCAGATGGCCTCGGAAGACGAAGAGGACTTGTCCGAGTTTAAGTTCCAGAAATTCGCGGCCACGTACTTCCAGGGCAACATTACGCATCAGTATTCAAGGAAACCGTTGAAGCATCCGCTGCTGCCATTGCACACGCAGGGTGACCAGCTGGCCGCTCAGGCGCTGTGGATCACCATACTCCGATTCACGGGCGATTTGCCCGAGCCGCGGTTTCACACGATGGATCGAGACACGACTTCGGTTATGTCGAAGGTGACGGCGACGCTCGGAAGAAACTTCATCAGGAGTAAAGAGTTTCAGGAGGCTCAGATGATGGGCATGGATCCGGTACGTCTCTTTCGTCATCGAGAGATAAATTACATAACAAAACGCTCGGTTTACATAAGCAATATCTATGTTCTTTCAGGAAACGTTTCTCAAGCAGAAGCCGCGATCCATCAGACACAAACTGGTGTCGCTGACGTTGAAGCGAAAAAACAAACTGGGCGAGGACGTGCGTAGGAAACTGCAGGAGGACGAGTACACCGCCGACAGCTATCAATCCTGGCTGGAAGCCAGGCCTACTTCGAATCTCGAGAAACTTCACTTTATCATCGGCCACGGTATACTGCGCGCCGAACTGAGGGACGAGATATATTGCCAGATCTGCAAGCAGTTAACTAACAATCCGTCCAAGTCGTCGCATGCGCGCGGCTGGATCCTGTTGTCCCTCTGCGTTGGCTGCTTCGCACCTTCCGAGAAATTTGTCAACTATCTGCGAGCCTTCATCAGGGAGGGACCGCCCGGCTACGCGCCCTACTGCGAAGACAGACTGAAGAGAACCTTCAACAACGGTACGCGCAATCAGCCGCCCAGCTGGCTGGAGCTTCAGGCCACCAAATCGAAGAAGCCGATTATGTTACCGATCACCTTCATGGACGGCAACACGAAGACGTTGCTGGCCGATTCCGCAACTACCGCCAGAGAACTGTGCAATCAACTGTCCGACAAAATCTCCTTGAGAGATCAGTTCGGTTTTTCCCTGTACATCGCTCTGTTTGATAAAGTATCGTCTCTGGGCAGCGGCGGTGATCACGTGATGGACGCGATCTCCCAGTGCGAACAATACGCGAAGGAGCAGGGTGCTCAGGAGCGAAACGCGCCGTGGAGGTTGTTCTTCAGAAAGGAGATATTCGCGCCGTGGCACGAGCCTACCGAGGATCAAGTTGCGACGAATCTGATCTACCAGCAGGTAGTGCGCGGCGTCAAGTTCGGCGAATATCGTTGCGACAAGGAGGAAGATCTAGCAATGATCGCGGCCCAGCAATATTACATAGAATACCACATCGATATGAACGTCGACAGACTGTACACCCTCTTGCCGAATTACATACCGGATTACTGTCTCACCGGGATCGAAAAAGCGATCGACCGTTGGGGACACCTCGTTTTGCAGGCGTACAAAAAAGTGAGCCTTATTTTAAAATGAAATTACGAGAAGCGTAAGGACATACATCAACTAGTCAATGTTTTAATTTGTTCTATGTTTTGCTCTCCCAGAGTTATTACTTGAAGGAAAAGGTACCAGCGTTGCGCGTCAAAGAGGACATAGTCGGCTACGCGAAGTTCAAGTGGCCGCTGTTGTTCTCGCGTTTCTACGAAGCTTACAGAAACTCCGGCCCGAACCTGCCCAAAAACGATGTTATCATTGCCGTCAACTGGACCGGAGTGTACGTCGTCGACGATCAAGAGCAAGTGCTCCTGGAGTTGTCCTTCCCTGAAATTACCACCGTATCTAGTCAAAAGTGCGTGTAAAAAGCGTCTTAAACAACTGAACTAAGTTTTGACGAAAAACCGACGGTTATGAACTTCGGTTTCCTGTTACTTTACAGAACAAACAAGATGTTCACGCAGACGTTCAGTTTGTCGACGGTGCGGGGAGAAGAATTCACATTCCAGAGTCCGAACGCGGAGGACATACGCGACCTGGTGGTGTACTTCCTGGAAGGGTTGAAAAAGCGTAGCAAGTTCGTCATAGCTCTGCAGGATTATAAAGCGCCGGGTGAGAGCTCGTCGTTCTTGAACTTTCAGAAAGGCGACCTCATCGTCCTCGAGGACGAAAGCACCGGCGAGACGGTGCTCAATTCAGGATGGTGCGTCGGAACCTGTGACAGAACCGGCGAGAAAGGTGACTTTCCAGCGGAAACGGTTTATGTGCTGCCTTCCTTGACGAAACCACCAAACGACATATTGGTACGCGCGACAATAACTCAAATCTTTTTGCATTTTGAGTATTTTATTTTTTCAGAAGACATTGCCATTTTTATTCTCTCAATATTAAGGTTTTTCTAATTGTTTTCAGGCCTTGTTCAGCATAGAAGGCACGGAGAACAGTCGCAGACTCTATCCCCAGCAAATGAATGGAGTGGATTCGCGCGACAAACCTCACACCCTTCTGGAATACGCAATCGATCATTTCCGGTAAAAAGAGTGGCACTACATTCGCGTTTCCTATTACTTCTTATTAAAGAAAGTCTCCTGAGATATTTTATTATTTATTTTCAGAACACCGCCGAAAAGAACGATGTCCAAGACGCTGACGCTGACATCAGCGCGACGTGGCCACACGGACGAGTTGTGGCATCACTCGAGAGAACCGATAAAACAGCCTCTTCTGAAGAAACTCGTATCCAAGGAGGAGCTAGCCGAAGAAGCGTGCTTCGCCTTCAACGCCATTCTAAAGTACATGGGCGATCTGCCGACAAAACGACCGCGCATTGGCAACGAGTACACAGATCTGATCTTCGACGGGCCGTTGAAGAATGAGATTCTACGGGATGAGATTTACTGTCAGATCATGAAGCAGCTCACCGACAATCGCAACAGACTGAGCGAGGAGCGAGGTTGGGAACTGATGTGGCTCGCCACTGGATTGTTCACCTGCAGCCAGAGTTTGTTAAAAGTATGAAATTTTTTTGTGAATAAATTTTTCTTTCGAATATATTTCACAGAAGAATTATCGAAAATTCGAGGATGTGCTTCAACGCTGTTTGTTTAATTGCAGGAGTTAACTTTGTTCCTGCGCACAAGACGTCATCCCATATCTCAAGACTCCTTGCAAAGATTGCAGAAAACTCTGCGCAACGGTCAACGAAAATATCCGCCGCATCAAGTGGAGGTCGAAGCTATCCAGCACAAAACCACGCAAATATTTCACAAAGTTTACTTCCCGGACGATACGGACGAGGTGTGTTTTTAATATATTTTCCCGATCAGTCCAGCGATTAATCCTCAATCGATTCTTTCTCGACAATTGTTCAATTATTATTAATCTTTTCAAAGGCATTCGAAGTTGACTCATCCACCAGGGCGAAAGACTTCTGCCAGAACATAGCGCAGAGACTTAATCTGCGATCTGCCGAAGGTTTCAGTTTGTTTGTTAAGATTGCCGATAAAGTTATCTCCGTGCCGGAGGGCGATTTCTTCTTCGACTTCGTGCGACATTTGACCGATTGGATCAGGAAAGCCAGACCGTCTCGAGACGGTATGTTTTTCTTCTAGCAAAAATATTTTTCATAGAAGAAGTAATCTTTTTTATTGTTTTCTAAATTTTGTTAATTAATTAATTATTCAGGAGTGTCGCCGCAATTTACGTATCAAGTTTTCTTTATGAAAAAGCTTTGGACGAACACGGTTCCCGGGAAGGATAGAAATGCCGATCTGATTTTCCACTTCCACCAGGAACTCCCCAAGTTGTTAAGAGGTAACAGTATAACGATAGATATATTTCGATACCTATTGCAATATATCACTTACAAAATTTGTTTTGATTATCGTGCACAGGTTATCACAAGTGCACGAAAGAAGAAGCGTCAAGATTAGCAGCTCTGGTTTACAGAGTACGATTCGGCGAGAGCAAACAGGAATTGCAAGCAATTCCGTAAGCACTTCTTTCAACAATTTTTCTAATTATGAAAAGGATAATAGAAGAAAAATATATTTGACTATTTCTTGTTTCAGACAAATGTTGAGAGAGCTTATACCAGGTGATCTGATCAAGATACAGAGCGCCAACGATTGGAAGAGATCGATAATCGCGGCCTATAATCAAGATGCTGGTAAGTGGAGAAACTCGCGATTAGCTCGATAGCTCTCATTAAAAAACAAGCCTAAAATTTTTACAAAAAAAACAAAAAAAATACTTTATCTTAGGCATGAGTCCAGAAGACGCGAAGATCACCTTCTTGAAAATCGTGTATCGATGGCCGACGTTTGGTTCCGCGTTCTTCGAGGTGAAACAGAGCACAGAACCAAACTACCCCGAATTACTGTTGATTGCTATCAACAAACACGGCGTGAGCCTCATACATCCTCAATCGAAGGTAATGCAATCGTTAGTTTTTGTTCTTGATAAAAGATGAGGAACTAAATATAAATTTATATAAACATTTCATAAAACAAATTCCATGTGGCAATGAATTTTTTTCAGGACATACTGGTCACACATCCCTTCACAAGAATCTCTAACTGGTCATCCGGCAATACCTACTTCCACATGACAATAGGAAACCTCGTGCGTGGCTCGAAACTCCTGTGCGAGACCTCGTTGGGTTACAAGATGGACGACCTACTGACCTCCTACATCTCGCTGATGCTCACAAACATGAACAAGCAACGCACAATAAGAATCAAATAAACAGACAATAATTCCGAAACATAGTCCAACGATCGTTATTGAACGCAAGTATCCTTCAAGGTGCTAACAAAGAAAAATATTTGCTATAAAAAATATTTTAATGACTTTGTTTGTTGCACGTGAACTCGACGCATAAAACAAAACAAAAAAAAAAAAAACGCGACTGTCTCTCTTAATTGAATTCACGTACTTGCAAAAAAGTTGAAGATTATCACGATATCATTGCAATATATACGCGATTCGATAGATTTTTCATCTAATCGCAGTAAAAAAAAAATTATTCAAGTTTTAATTTTAAATATATATTAGATATTTATCACTGTTCATGTTATATCATACACGCTTTTTATGGCAAATACCTTTTTTAGTATATATATATATATATCATTTTAATGCTACTAATAACAATTATAATTTATAACGTATAAAATATAGATCGTACACTTCGTTTTATCTGTTAATTTATGATACGTAACACATTTTTCTCCGATATAAAAGGAAGAAAAAGAAACCACTTATATGTACACAAGTTAGCCGTACGATTTGTACATGGATTTCCTTATGGTTAAGAAATTCTCACATATAGCGTATATAAGAGAGAGCTTTGTATAAAATATATTATCCTTCTCAATATATATTATAAATAATCATTGGTCGATTAAAGAAAAAAATCTTATAGAACCGACGCTATTGTCTCTCGAGACAATTACAGTACGCGCGACGCTATTTTTCAGCGCGCTAATTTAACACGGGCATATATAATAAGGGCTATGCATAAATTGTTTATTTGAAGAATAACGCGTCTGTGTAATAAATAACACCGCGAACGTCTACCGTCGACAACGAACAGTCCGGACCATTCGTCCAACGATATAGACGATTTATTTACAGATCGAACAAAAAAAAAACAGTTGTTTAATCAAACTTTTTACGAAAAATTTATACACAAGGACGCTCGAATGGCAATTGACGTGCAACGTAAGAAAAAGACGATTATCAGAATTTGTCTAGCTTGTATCTATGCAATATGCGATTTTGAAATAAAAAAAACGTCTTGAGTAAGAATTCACTGTTAATTACTATTAGTTTTTATAATTGTGAATAAAGACGATTGTTTTTTTTTCTCCCTCTCTCTACACGCAAAGTACAAGCGTTTTAATCGCGTGGGTAAATTCCCATAGAATGTATACCAAGCGTTCCCCCTTTTCCAACGCGGATCTCTTCGAGAAGACATTCCCAAGGTGATGCTATCGCACTTCCTCTCGGAGATGACGATATATTTCGATTATCTCTTCTGCAAAAAAAAAAAAAAAAACAAAAAAAAGAAGAAGGGTCGAAAACACGCGCTAACACCGGTAAAAAAAAAAAAGCACGTTGCGAAAAATCGCAACTTTCTATTAAATATCCTTTTATTAAAATCTTTCTGAGACGTGAGTGTACATCTTAAAAATGAAAAGATTATTATCCTTTTTTTTTTTTTTACACATAAAATACATAAATATTTTCCGAATGTTTTCGAGAACATTCGTGATTTTGAGGATAAGGTTCGTGAGTGGTTGATATGTTCTGTGGCACAATTTTCTCATCAGGTTTGCGGGAAGGATTAGGGAGAAATCGATCGAGATCCGATCGGACGACGTAAAGATCTTGGAGTATATAAACTTTCGTTTTTCAAGGTTTATTCTCTTAATCGTATGAGGAAATTAAAAAAAATCATATTTATACGATGTCTTCGTTAGGTAATGATCGAGCAACAATACCACAATAATGCATATAAAATGTTAAAATTTTCAATTCTGTCCAAATCAGAAAAGTAATAAAATTACTTCAAGAAAATATGATACAAGAAAGTTCTCGATGCGTGTGATCTGTGAAAAAGATAATCTAATTCTGTTCATCAGCACGTAAAACATATATTTTTCTTCATGTCATACGATTTAATAAAAATATCTGTCCCGGCTCACATTGTTTGTGGACATTTGCGGCGTGTTGTGTTTCGACGAAACTACAAAAAAAAGAAGAAACACATATATACATGTGTATAACGTCATGTAATAATGATAATAATAATATATAAATTCACGTTCTACCGTTTTTTTTAATTTTTACAAGGTGAGAAATATTTCTGTGGCGAGAATTAACCGAGCAAGTTAATCTCGCGCACGCACGCGCGAGAAATTATTCTAAGGTGTACTTATTACATCGAGGTCCACGTAATATTGCAATCACAAAAAGTGCTGTATACGTACATACGTTGAAAGAGAGATACTAGACATATATAAAACAATATATCTCTTTTATCAAGGTTAAAACAAATTATATACGTAATTAATCAGAAGAGAGAAACTTATAACTTATGCCGTTTTCTCTGAACCGGATCTCACGCGACGATCTTTCTCTCTCTCTTTTTCTCTCCTTTCAGAGAACAGGAAGAGACAAAAAAAAAAAAAAAAAAAAAAAAAAAAATACATACACAGACGAACTCTGACTGACTTTTGACAACAAACCTCTGTGGCCATCTTCACGATCAGCACCAATTACTCACGACACTCATTCACACTCACTGAAGATATATGCCATTTTGTTTTATACCATGCTCTCCTAATAAATAATGAAAGAGTCTATGTATTGACACCGCGCGCGTACGAATTTACAAATGTACCAAATGTCGAGCACAGTCGTGCGCGGTTTCAAAAAATACATTGCGTGTAACTCCGTATTCCTACGCTACTTTGTACATACACGATGGACCATTCACACGTGAAGCGATATTCGAACTTCAGTATAGTTCTCGAGTTTAGTAAACTCGTAAATTCATTCTTTCTTTTTCTCCCTCTTTTTCTTCGTACGAGAATCTCTTTTCATGGTTCGAATAAAAAAAAAAAGGACTTTTATACTAACTTCAACGAATTGAAGCTTTTGCACCGTTGCAATCAAGTGGCAACGTGGCGACTAGTTCGAGACGCGCTATACTGAGTTCTGAACATAGCAGCAGTTCTTCTTGTAACAAATGTATAATGTTTTAAAAGCACAACCATCGTTCGGTGACCGATATGCAAATGTATATAGACTAAGACTATGTATTATCCTCGTTCTTAATACTATTATATTCATTTGATAGTTTCTTTGATTCCTCTTAAACTCTGATGAGACAATAAACTTCCAAGAAAAGAGCGCTTTAACGCACCAGCAGTAAATTTATTTATTTTTCAACTAGGGACACACACTCTGGGGATTACTGTCGCTCAGTGTGTGTATCGATTTGATTAAGAAAAAGGAATACAAACATTGTCCGTGACTCGACGACGAATTTATTACATCGAGAAGACTCCGATTTCGAATCAAAATGTTGTACGCGTCATCAGCGCGTGAGGCCTCTTATTGGCCTTTTTTTTCTGCGTTAATCTTGTTCGTTTTTCTCGAAAATTCTCTATCGTCAAACTCCGTACACTTGACTCGATCTATTCACACTCGCTTGGACTGTTAAATCTAAAATTGCTATATAAATTATTATCTCTGTAAATCTTTTTTTTTTTTTTTTATCAACAATTTATACGTGTTGTAGCTTAGGATTTCTTTTAGCGCGCAAGTTTCGACGCGCCACGTCGTGCGCCGCGAGCGCATTGAGCGAAATGCTACGTTCTCGTATTGTCTAAGTTCCGCGCCGCGTTGCCCTCAACTTCGAGCAACAAGTCTTTCTCCAGAAACGAGCAATCATCGTCGTCGTCGTCGTCGTCGTCGTCGTCGTCGTCGTCATCGTCGTCGTTGTTGTCGTCGCTCTCACTTCTTTCGTCACCGTCGTCGTCATTGTCATCTTGAGACACTACGGGTGGCGTAACACCGTTCGTATCACTATTACATAGACTTTGGTTCGCGTTGTGACGTTTATCTAGAAGACATCAGAGACCCGACTGCGGCGGCTGTCCGTGAGTGTTCCAGGGCACGTCGGCGGGCATCGCGGCGGGCGGTATACTGGCTTGATTGTGCATGGCACGAGGCGCTCGCATAATTTCCTCGGCAGGCGGGCAATGCGGACGTGGTCCAGGTTCGGGAGTATATGTGAAAGTCAGACCGGTTGCGTAGATGATGCCGTCGTTGCGCACCAAAGAGACCGGCACCTGCGTTGGCTGACGTACCCACAGCCACTCGCCGCGAAACAGCGAGATGTCGGGCACGACGCAGAGCATGCTCTCCTGGCATCTGTACATGGTCTCGGCTTCCACGTCGCCGAACCAGACCTGTAGATTCGGTGTGAAATTGTCGCCCGTTAGTTCGAGCATCGCCACATCACCACCGCCGTTAAGATGCAAGCTGTGAACCAACGGCACCGGCGTCACCGGCGATCGTACCGGGCCCATGCCTTCGAAAAACTGGTACTCCGCTTTATCGGTGCTGATGATCGTCCAGCAAGCGCCATCGTTGATCATTTCTTTGTTCGCTTCCTTCGGACAGGGCGTAGCCTGAAATTGTATTATGCGTTCTTGCGACAGGCACAAATACATTTTGTCCGTGTCCTTCATGTAAAAGGCGCACTTGTGTAATTGCGAAACGGGATCGTCGGCTTCGAGACTGGCCATTTGTTTGTCCACCTTGCGGATTACCAGTCGCGGTAGCGCCATTCCCGTGACAGAACACACAAGTTTGACGGTACTGCCGTAGTGCACGTAACCGTCGCGCACTTGAAACTCCTCGGATTCGCTTTCGTTGTCATCAAGAAGATGAATGGTGAACGCGCCCCACTGTGTCGAACTCGCATGGAAATTGCCGTTCTCGACGTGAAGGTAGCGCGTACTAACCGTCTGTGACCGCAATCGATTAAAGAGCGCCACTTTCGTGCCACTAGCGATACACAGATCCGCATTCTTCAGTGACTGTTTCTTTTTGGACGGTTTCGAAATCACCTTGATTCGCTTGCTGTGAAACACGCCGATGTCGTGGCCGCTGCCGTAAAACATCTTGACGGAAAGCATGAAGTGCTTGCGTTTGTCCGAGTCGGAGATGTAGAGTGTCTTGGCCGCGCAGTATTGTTTGCCGTTGTTCAGATCCAATTGCTGCATATCCTGCTCCGAGTTGCCGATCCCGATGAAAGCGCACAACTGGGCGCTCTGCTCGCTCTCGCCCTCGCGCAGCATCTGTTCCTGGCGCATCCTCCAACCGTCGCCGAAGAGATAAATACACGGGGGTGGACAGAAGAAACGTTTCTCGTTACCGTATGATTTCTGAGCAACTTTGGCGTGCAGTATTACGATTACCATGTCGCTACGATCGCGCAAGTAACGTTCCATCGCTTCGCGAGTCAGTCGCTGATCTTGATGATCAGGCCTGTAGATGCCAGAGCCGAATCGAGGATAGACGGACATGACCGAGGTCGGCGAGGGCGGAGATTGCATTCCGTGTGCCATTGTGGGCAATCCAAACTGATGTGGCATATTTAAAAATCGGCTCTCGCGGACGGGATAACAAAACTGCAGCCGTTGGCCTTTTTTATATCTTCATCTTCCGACTGCGTTAAAGTGTCTTCCCACTTTTGTTGTTTTTACCTACGGTAAATGTAAAAATACTTAACAGATGTGCGTGAATTATTACTTCTAACAAAATTATTACAAGCGAGATTGTTAGACGATCTCGTAAGAAAAACGTGCAACACTGTGTAGCGTGCTGAGAAAGCGAAGAAAAATACAGGAGAGATTATATTAAAACATTGAGCGATCGACATCGTGTAATAAATGTAACTTGGTCAACACAGTAGTAGAGTTGAAACATTAATAATTCAAAGATATAGTCAGATATATACATATGATTAATAACATCCGTTGTTTCTTTTCATATACCCGTCGTGTACCGGGTCCAAGAGTCTAATGTAGATATACGCAATAATTATAAAAATGCCAATTATACATCTCTCTATTTCTGTGTGTGTAGCGGTTTTCAATGTGATAATTTCTTCGCGTATATTATTAATTAATTATTCAGTAGTTAGTTATTCGCGCGATTAACCGTATCAAAATGCATACAAATGTCCGCCTATTTAAAACTTTAGCGTGAGAACGATTTTTGCTTTTTTTACAGAGAGAACGGAACGTAATTAACTCGAGATATCTTTCTTCGTATGAGCTACCTAAGAATTGCCGGTCTTAACACAGGAAAGAGGAAACAGCGCGCATGTACACACACATACATATATATACACGCATACCGTGAGAACCAAGCTGGGCTCATTTTTCCTGCATGAATTAAAGCGCTCTTATTTATTGTGGCCATGCAACATACAGGTAAATTTTGTATTTATGTAGTGGGAAAAACACATACTGATTAACAGAAAGAGAGACAGGAGAGAGAGAGAGAGAAAAAGAGAGCATTCATTTTAGACTAAACAAGCGCATTATTATATACATTAATTAACAAAAAAACAGTTATACATTAATTACAAGAAGTCGATCGTATGAACACACATACGTTTATATACAAATTTTATAATTTTATTACTTACCAATATATATATACAATGCAAAATGTTCTAATCTTGTTTTACATACTGCTGCTTCTTCCTCAAAAGCTTCTTCTTTCAAAGTTTTACTTAAAAGCACTCAATTCAATAATTGATTTATTTTTCTGAGCAGAAAAAAATTTGTTGCTTTGCGCGTCGATAAAAGATTAAATCTTTAAAAAAACAAAACGTACACGTGTTAAATTTGTTGTTTATCAAATTAATGGCTAAAATCTGTCACTTGTTATTCTTCATTAATATCCTCTCTATTGTGGTATGGTAAGCTCCAATTTACATACATGATGTTAAGAAGACAATATAAAAAACGTAGCAATCAATATCAGTGTTTCAGCAAGAAAAATTAAACAGCCACAACAACGATGCTAGTGTGCAGGAAACCAACAGGAAAGTGTTTTTACATGCGTCAAGAGATATCTCACTTTATGTAATTCTATATACACACACACACACAGTCTCATAATTTAGTATAATACACAAGTTTAATTACCCAAGTCTATGATTGAGTTGAATATAATTAAACACTCCAGAAATATACTAATGCAAATGCATTATTCAGCAAGAAACATGTTTAATAAAGTGACTCACATGTGGCATTATATGAGTGATAGAAAACATAACATGTATGACGCAAATATGTCATCCTTACAGTTTTTGCAAAACTTTATAAAATCAACACTAAAAGTGTACATATCTAATAAGACGTATTTATATAAATCTCATAAAAGAGTAACACAATCTATGTGTTGTTGCAATTCTAACATAACATAGATTATTGTGTGCAGAAAAGGTCTGGATTGCAAGGAAAAAAAGAAAAAACAAGAGTCGGTAGAAAGAGCTGTGGTCAAGCAAAATTCAAACACCGTGAGAAAAAATCACAAGTTATAACAAAAAAAATCCACAAGATATTTTCGCAAGATACGTGTATATACACACACACACACTGTCTCTCCTCTTCTCTCTCTCTCTCTCTCTCTCGCATTTGCTCGCACTTTTTCTCCCTGTCGCGGTTTGAAGGGTTATAAAATAATCGATTCCGCGGCGTGAGGAAACGCGATCGAAGCGGCGTGCGAGAAAAGCCGAGGCATTTGTTTATTTACCTTTTCGGGATGAGCGAGAGGTTACGGGCGCACGCCGCGAACCGAACGGACGTGCACTCACGGTAGTGGTACTCACCTCCTCATTTTCGCCCGGGCGCTGCCAGTAACCGCGTGCCCGCGTGCATCTCCTCCGAGATATCGATCATCCGGAGCGGCGGCCAAGTCCCGGCGATCGTTCACCGTCCGTGAATCCTTCCGCGTCCTCCGTCGCCTAGTCTCCCTAATCCATTCAAAAAACACCTGTTCACTTTCCGAATTTTCCGAACAGTCCTGCCAACCTACCAGAAAACGTGCGAGCGAAACGTGCGATTGCGCGACGCGGCGATTGCGCGCGCGCAACTTCGAATTCGATTGGATTCGAATAGCGCGGACAACTTCACGCGGAAGCTCGCACGACTCTCTCTCTCTCTCTCTCTGTCTTTCTCTTGTCGTGTTTTCGTTTGTTCTTTTACGATTTCTCCGCTTATTACGCGCGCGATATATAAACTCGAACGTGAATCATCATCCGGGTAAGTCCCCCCTATTTAGCGACTCGACTCGTGTGTGAAACCTCTCGATGCAGTTTTTAAAACGTTACACGGTGAACGACAAATAAATTCTAACGCGCGGGGAGCGATCATTCTGAACGCGCGGTCGACGAGTAACTAACTTCGTTGCGGTCCGGAGCGACGACGTAAAGTAGTTATTACTGACGCGGGGTGAACGAGGAGGAAAAGGGGGGATGCGAGCTTATAGGTCCGCGTTCTTCCGAGATATTCAAGACGTGTACGCCGCGGCGAGAGAACCGCATTTTCTTTCCCCCCGTGTTGTGTACACGATGCGACGTGTGTTTCACGCCGATGTAAATGAAAATCGCGCGCAAACGTCGCTCTTAAAATCGGTCGCTCCGCGGTCTTCCGGGTTTGATTGCGACGAGAGAGATCCGATCTGTAAAAACCGACCGTCGTCCCGAAACTATAAATCCGACACGAATCTCTCTTACACACGGACTGACACGCGCTTTCGAAAACTGGCGCGTTTCGAGCGTGTCGCAAAGTCGTGAGCGCAAAATAGAGAAAAAGGGTCGTGATTTAAGAGGATCGTTCGAGAATTCATCAATCTCGGATTTGATGTACGGAGCGATTTCGTGTTTTCTAGATCGTACTCCCGTTTCTGCGATATATACAGAACTAACTCGATTAATCACCATTGAGCGTTGACGGGGCGGGGGGCCCCCCCAGCTGTCTGTCGACGACGTTCATACCTTCGAGACTGCGTTATCGCATTTGAAAAGTAGATCGAGCACTCTCCTCTCTCTCTCTCTCTGTCTTCCTCTCTCGTTCGATCTGGCGGTCTTTCTCCTTTTGATCGGTCCGCGATAGTTTTCGCGACAACACCGGCGCCCGTGCGCACAAGATACGTCACTGGGCCGCGCTGCGAATTCTATTGTTTTACTGTTGTACAATAGCCCGGTCGACCCGAGCGCCTCTACTTCCCTGCCACCTCCCCCCCCTCCCTCGTCTAACGCGCGCGCGCGCCGCTCGCGCCCTCGTCGCTTCTCCGTTTCCCTCCACTCTTCCCGAGATCACCCCCCCGTCGTCGTCGCTCCCGCTCCGAGCCGTAGAATTGCTGCCGCAAAAGGATGTTGGGGTTACCCTGGGGGGCGTGGGAAAAACCTGCTGTGGGAAAGAGTGGGTGGCCTCTACCTCACTCCACTTCTGCGATGATGACGATACGATATATGTGCCGCGTCTATGAATGCACGTGTCTATGTGTATTCACGTGTACGTATAATATACGCGCGCTGCACACACACACACACATTTATATATATATATATATATATACAATATATATTTACCTATATATACATATACAGGGGCCGCCTCCCGGCGTGTGATCCGCGAGAGGTGCAGCCGATGCTGCGTAATAACGACGTGCACATGTGCGTGCGAGGACGAAGGGAAAAAGAGAGAGAGAGAGAGAGAGAGAGAGAGAGGAGAAAGAGAGAGAGAAAAAGAGAAATAATCGCTGCGCGCGGCATTTTGCCAGGGCAAAACACGATTTTGCTCGAGATACATATAATATTTCGAAAACACACTCTATGTAAATTTCTTTTCTTCCGAGACGCACACGGTAATGCGGATTTGATCAATTTGCCAACCATCCGAAGTTGGCGCGATACATCTCGATCCACAAGTCGCGGGGCGAGAGTCGAGATAATTAGGAAGCGCAACATTTATAACTCGATCGATACTCATTTTATATCGAGTTTTAGTTTTTTTTTTTTTTTTAGTGACAGTTGACACTGTCACAACAGTCGGTGACATAAACGTTTCTTTTGCGCGCAAATGTTTTACTTTGCGCGCAGTTTGCCTGTTTTTTTATTTCTTCTGTTTTATTATCATTGTCGTGAATTAGAAAATTTTTTCTACACGGACTCTCTTCTTAATATTACGTTGCGTGTAAAAACGGGACGATTTCTTCTGCGACGCGACTCCCAACGTTTGACAAGCGTGTAACGTAAACTCGTGTTTCGCGTACGAGCGCGTCGAGTTTTTTTTTTTTTTTTTTTTAACATGCTCGCGGCTCGCGCGCGCGATTCCCACGCTCGTTCTTTTTACGAAGGCGCGAAGATACCGGCGCGAAATTGTTCCGCGAGCGTGATCCCGATACGATCTGCCATTTATAATTGTTGCGCGATCCTAATTATCAGCGGCTGCTCTCCCTCATGAAAGAAAAATAAATAAGATATGCGGAACGGGGGGCGACACGTTATAATTGGCCAGACTCTCTGTATTTAAAGATCTCGTAGTAGTACGTGTGTGATGCCCGAAACGTCACGCGTTAAACAGCGCGTTTTCTCGCCGTTGTAACGATCTCTTTTCCGATCGTTGACTGAATCGATCAAATGGTCTTGCAACGTGCCTTGAATTCGTCTAATATGAAAAAAAAATTAAATTAAATTAATTTCCTCAGATATCGAGAGAATAATTAACCCACGAGAGAGTTGCCTCGGAGAAAGACGCGAGACGTCGCGCGAATTATTGTATTATGTTATCAAAAATCGCAGGCACAATTGCATTTCCGTGATGCGATGTATGCGCGAGTTCGCGCAATCGGCGGATGTAACAAGAGTCAAGGATTACATACGCACGTTTCGCCAAGCCAGCGCACGATGCTGGTCGCATATGCGCAGCTGCGCCCGAGGTTGACGCTTCGTCTCTCTGTTGACCGCGCGATGAGACGCAGTCCGAGCGTTGGTCCAATGGTAAACGCAAATGTAACATCCTCGCGTATCATGTACGCACTTTATATTGTTGACACACTCGCACACTTGATGTAACAATATCACACGACGTCAATTATGATACATCGCGCAATTTCTCATGTAAATGTGCATTTTTTAGGTTACTTATTGAAGATGAGCAAGATATATTAATCACGGAAACAATTATTGCGAACGAATCTTGCGCATGAGAAGCGTTGTAGTTTTTCCACATGATTGCTTGTTCGTTTTTTCTCGCGGGATCAAGTTCTTGGTAAATAATGGGAGTGTACGGTTTGTGGAGACTGATCGATGCGTCCGGCAAGCCGGTGCCTCTGGAGACACTGGAAGGCAAAGTTTTGGCGATTGGCGAGTATCAATTTTTTTTTTTCGGACAGTTTCCGTTACGAGTCTCACAGAAGATGTGTATTTGTGTTAATTTTAAAAATAACAAACAGTGTAAAAAGAATCTGTTGCTCGTCTAATTTTAAACGAACACTCGAAGACATCAGTTTTTGAGTCTCTAGAATTGATTGAATCAGGAATATTATGTGTAACAATATAAAATTGCAGATATATCGATATGGATGTATCAGGTGTTGCAAGGATACCAGGATCGTCACGGTGCCCCCAGACCCAACGCCCACTTGCTCGGACTGTTCGTTAGAATATGCAAGCTTCTGTATTACAGGATCAAGCCTGTTTTTGTTTTTGACGGAGGTGTGCCTGTGCTCAAGAAAAACACAATCGTACGTATATACTGCGGATTGTATTTCCCCCTTCCCATAGCAAATGGTTAATATTAATCTCTAAAATCTTTTTTTTCTGCATTTAACACAAAAGAGACACGGCGTGTTGCATCGGAGATTTTAAACGCATGTGCATTTATGCACAAGCGAAACTGTTCTTCTCTCTATCTTGATTATAATATTGTTCGTAGATAATTAGCGCGCCGTGGGAACCAGGTAGTGAGAAAAGAGCCTCCTCATTCTTTTGTGTTTTGCAGGCCTTGCGCAGGAAGCAGAAATCTATTGCCTCGAGTAAGGCGCAGAAGATGAAGACCGACTTGATAAACAACTTGATAAAGCACAGCGTCGTGAAAACCGTTCTTAACAAGGATCCCGGGACGGATCAGAACGGCGGGGCGACGAAAATAATGATAAACTTGCAAACTAAACGCGCCGACGAAGATATGTTTGTTCTGCCTGATATGTCGAGCGCCAGCAATGCGCAGACTTACATTAGCGACGACGAGTGCGATTCTGACGCGTCTGTCGAGCTGAGTCCGCGGAAGCAATCAAAGTGGATGGGAAATATTCACTCTGTTGACGTCACCAGCAACGAGTTTAAAGCGTTACCTGCGGACGTGCGTTATGACATACTCACCGATCTCAAGGAAACGAGAAAACAAAATTCCTGGGGCCGTTTGCACGAAATGCCCCAAGTACGTGTGTGTGTGTGTGTAATATTACACAGAAACGTATATTAGAACAGAGCATATGATGTATCACAGATTGTGTTTTTACACAAATTTTTTTCATAGAAGAAATATAATGTAACCATAATGTAACTTGGTTGCAGGAATCGCAAGATTTCTCAGGCTTCCAACTCAAACGTTTGCTCAAGCGCAGATACGTACAAGAGTCTTTGGAATCCGCTGAAAAGGAAATGGGCGGAAAAACACTGACCTTGGAGGAATTAGAGAAGCTGCTGATCGAACAAGGCGTTAATACAAAGGGAAGAGACACGGCTTTTCGGATAGCCGCGGATAGTACTACTAGATTGATTTACATCAGTGGTACGTGAGTGTGTGTGTGTATATGTACAAAAGCATTGAAATGGTAATTTTATTTTGCAACGTATACATCAACATATGATAATACTGTTTTCCAGATAAAAATGCACTAGCAAAAAGTTCGGCTGATAACAAATCAGAAACGGATGAAGATGAAATTTCACAGACGGATAAAGATGAAATTGCACAGAACGATACAGATGAAATCTTACAAGATGACGTAGTCTTACGAGATGCTGAAGTCACGCAGAACGCAAATAAAGAAATCGAACCTGTCGCTGGTCCAAGTAAATCCCCACCGATTGTCGAGGACATGAATGCGTACAGTTTAAATGACGAATCCGATGACGACGCTTATGTGTCGATTCGCAATGCTTCTTCGTCCATCTCGGATAACTTGAACGAATATACGTTCGAGAGCGATTTGGAATCTGAAAACGATGCGAACGAATCGTTAGCGCTGTTAGCGAAGAAGTACTTGGGCAAAAGCAAAACGAATCCCGCGTTAACGTACATGTTGGAGTACAGCGGTTTGTCTCAGAGGCAGATCGTAGATCTTATTAAACACAACAAGAACGAAAACTGCAATACCGCGAGCAAAAGTGCAAAAAAGCCCGAGAAAAACGATCGCTTCGAAAATTTGACAGAAAGTGTTAACTCGACTGATGAGAAACCGAAATTGAATTGTGAGAAAACTCCAAAATCCGTGCGGATCGCGCAAGAAGCACACGTAGCTGACACAAATGTCGAATTAATTCCGTCTAGTCCGGAATCGAGTAATTTTGTCGAAAGTGATCCGACGCGGAAAGATCGTGAGTCATGTGTCACTGTGGCGTCTACCAGCGTAAGCTCGGATAGTGGAATAATACTCGAAAAACAGTCTCCTGTTACAAAATCCAATGACGTAACGCGGATAGATACGTCGGACTCTGACTCCGACGATTTCATAGAGATCCAAGATGTGCCGTTACCCATCGTGAACATGTCGAGAAATATCGCGAGAAAAAATATCGAAATAACTTTCAAAACTGACGAGAAAATAGAAGACGATATGTTTGCCGATGTGTTCGAGAAAGCGGATAAAAACGAAGTCGGGCCAGCGAATCGCGTAGAACAAACGCAGTCGTCCGTCAGCACAAACGTTGATCATCATCAAGCACAAGTGATCATCGGCACAAATGTGCATCATCAGGCACAAGTAATTTCTGAAAATAATGATATTGTCAAGAGCAACGTACTGTACACCATACCGGAAGAATCGATTGAAGAGGAAACGAAAACTGAAACTCGGGAAAACATTCAGCCAACGGAGAATAATACATCGACCGATGGGAATAAAGTACACGATTCTCAAAGCTCGAACGAAACAATAGAGCAGAATGATATAGATTTTCTTCCTCAAGTCAGTCCCGTTAACGAGCGTACGCGAGAGAAATCGCCAGTATTGCCTACCAATGAAGAAGATTTGATAGAATTGAAGGTGCTTCTAATATTATTCTTATAATTACACAATACCAGATAGATTGTTGCTTATTTTAATACTTGCATACTAACGTGTATATATATTTCTCAGGAACAATTGGAAGACGAACAGGAAGAACTCGCTAGAAGTCTTGGCAAATTTGAAAGACAAGCTACTAACATTTCCGATCAAATTAGAAACGAGGCCCAGGTATTTCGCATATATAAAACGACTCTCTCACACGCCGCGTCGTGTTCTTATATTACGTTTTTTTTTTCTCTGTTTACAGGAGCTATTGCGTTTGTTCGGTATACCGTACGTGGTAGCGCCTATGGAAGCGGAAGCACAGTGCGCGTACTTGGAGCAAATTAAGTTAACGGACGGCACGATTACGGACGACTCCGATATCTGGTTATTCGGAGGCGAGTGCGTGTACAAAAATTTTTTTAACAACAACAAGAGAGTGATGCAATTTCGCGCCTGTGATATACAACATCATTTCAGTAAGTGTCGAAAATACAAATTGTGCGATCATTTTACTGAGAAAAAACATTAAATTTTATACGTGTATTCGACAACGCAACGTTTATGTATTTTGCAGAACTCACTCGCAATCAATTGATACAACTGGCCCTTTTGATCGGCAGTGATTACACCATCGGGGTGCCCGGCATCGGACCGGTTACCGCGCTGGAAATACTGGCCGCGTTTCCCGCCGAAGGAGAGAACGTGTTGCACGGATTGCACAGTTTTTCCTCGTGGATTAAAAAAGGCAAAATCGCGGCTCCCGGAAAAACGGGTCTTCGCAATAAATTGCGAAATGTGAAATTGAACAGAGGTAAGCGACAATTTTCGCGTGTATCTACAAGATTGATAGGTACGAGTGGTAGCAAACAATGTGATTTTAGATTTCCCTAGTCAAGCGGTTGTTCAAGCGTACCTTTTTCCCACGGTCGATGAATCGAAGGATACTTTTACTTGGGGCAAACCGAACGTCGTGCTTCTGTGCGACTACACCAGACAGAAATTCGGATGGACGAAGGGCAAATTCGACGACACGATGATACCGGTACTTAGGAGAATGGAGGAGAACAGGAATCAGAAGTTGCTGGACATGTATTTCAAAGCGAAGACATCGCCACGGTCCATCGAGCCGACTCTGAGCAAGAGAGTTCAGAAAGCTCTGCGCAAATTACACGGCGGTCATGTAGATGATGAAAATGCGGACGATAAGCCACGATCTAAAAAACGTAAGACAAGCGATAAGGATATTGATAAGGAAGAGACCGCAGCAAAATCCGTAACATTGATTGATGAATCCAAAAAAGTGAATGATACCGAAACGGTAATCGATATGTCTAACTTGCCTGTCAAGACGAGTACTGCTCTTGACAAACCTGTTGTTCAGCAAATATACACCAAAGAGTACATACCGCAACGAGAAAAGAGCAAGGCATGCGCGTTAGAAAAAAAATTGCACGCTATAGAAGTATTCAGAAAATCGAAGCAAGGCCTAGGCAAAACAAAGAAAGTGAAACGCACTGTACGAAAAATCAAGAAAGAGGCAGAATTATCCGAAAGCGATAGCGACTAGATTCATTTGATAAAAAAAAAAAAAGATATTTAATCTTTCGAATGTTATTTGTTACTTTGTCACGTGTGTAAATACAAAATATTTTTTTATCGAATGTCGTTAACGTCTTTCTCAAGTGTAACTAAACCCAGTGATGTATAAATAAAATAATGTCAACATTATTTTTTTAAGTGGAGGTTTTATTAAGTGTCAGCAACGAGTGCTTATAAAATGATCCAAAAAAAAAAATTTGGATCGATCTTCCATTGAAAAATTATGTTTTGAGATTGTTTTAGTCAAACAATCCGAAGCCCATGTCATCATCTTCGGATTCGGACTCCTCTTTCTTTTCTTCCTTCTTTTCAGCAGCAGGAGCTTCAGCAGCTGCAGCCGCTGGAGCTGCAGCAGCAGCAGCGGCAGCAAACTTGCTCGGATCCTGGAAGTGAGCAATTTAATTTGTTTTTTAGATATTGCAGTTACGACCAATCATGTGTGTATATATTTTCATTGTGTTCAGACTGCATTTTAATGCGATATCTCAACATTTAATCTTGACGCACTAGTGGGTTCAGCTATTTCTAGCTCTAATGCGCGAACCAAGATTTTTAGACGCGTTATGCTTTCATCATTGCATTTGTTGAAAACAAATAATGAATAACACTGTAAAATCATACCTTAATATATTCCTTTATAGTAGCGGCTTCCGCGAATTCGACCTCGGTAACTGCAACAATAGCCAACAAGTTTTTGAAACCGTTCGCTATGCTGTGCGGAGCGCTGGCGACTGTGGGATATCCAATCGACAAGCAAACCGCGGCCAAGTTCGCGACTCCGGCCATAAACTTTTCCCGAAGGTCCTCAGGTTTGATATCCAGAATTTCGGGTGCGAAAATGGTACCGGAATCGTACACTTGTTCGACTATTAATCCGTACGAGAACGGAGAGATGTTCAGCATGTTCAAAAGAGTAGCTTCGGATGCACCTACTTTGTCACCAGGTTTGAGGATGTGCACGTCGTTCTGAAATTTTATTTCACATCATTATATATACACATATGTATAGACACACACTATAATAAAGTCATATAATAAAGTTTGAAGAAACACGAATCCAAGAAGTATAGTACTTACTATAATTTCAATAGTACCCTTGGAAATCTTGGTCGGAATACTCAAAGCTTGAAAGAAAGATGTTTTTTCAGGACCAAGTCCGGTGTTTTGTGCGGGAATGATAACGCTCAAAGGTGCGATGGCGCCCGCTCTGGCGGGTGCGCGCACTTTGTTTTCCAGCAATTTGTCTCTCACTTCTATCAAGTCACCCCGCGTGAAGACGAATCCGACATTACCCCTGATGTGAGGCAACAGCTTTTCCAATGCGGCATTACGTTCTATGTGACCCTTGATGGCCTTTCTCATCATGGTGTTCTTACCCATGAGCACAACTGCATTTCCACGAAGGGACATGCGAATTTGTTGCATCTGCTTGGAGCCAACATTGTCTGCGCCTACGATGAAGCACTTGGGGTAATCGTCCAATAGTTGCTGATATTTAAAAGAAATGTATCAATTATTAAATAAATCATCTGAGATTTTATCTTACATAAAAACTTTACAAGATCAAAGAAAACATTATGAGAAAGAAAAACTACTTACAACAAGTTTGGTGAAGTAACTTGATTTCCAAGTTGCCTTGTCCTCCCTACCCATCTTGAAAAGTGTGTAGTAGGGATACCTCAGGAATTTAAGGACTGAAAAAGTTCGAAATTAAAAAATCAATTATGCTATATAGAAAAAAAAAAGAAATAAACATTAGCAATAGCAATTATTCAGACTACACGTTGAGTGTCGTTTTCGCGCATAAAATTCGCGCACAAGTGGGTTCGCCTATTTCTAGGACCTTGTGCGTTCCTCGAACTTTCGGACATGTGTTTTTATCATCATTTTTGTGCATATATACTTAGACAAAGAATCGTATTCTTTTTATGTAAACGTAACGTAAATCAACATATGCGAGTTTTTGTACTAAAATGCAAAGAAACTCCGTTCGACTCGAGCCACATGGCTTCCTAACCTCGTTGCTCTATGATACAAATTCGAGAGAACATATACTAATGTAAAACTCATATATTTATTACTTTCATTCAAAATCGATATACGTGAAACATCTTAAATCTATAACAAATATCATGAAAACTACACGTTATCTGAATATTTTTAAAAGCAATAAAATAACTTCAACGTACCTCAGCAACCAAACCGTTGCGATGTTCGGCGGAAAATGGCAGACACAGAAACCGCCACGAGACACGATTGACGAAAAAAATATTAACCGGAAGTTCCGGTTACATCGGTTAAGCATGTTCTACAATACAGTCGTAAGCCGTAAGTCGTAAGAAATTGACCAATCACAATCGATTATTCTTCTGTAATTGGTCTGTGATTGGTCAATTTCTTACGACTTACAGTTTACGACAGTATTGTAGAACAGGCCTTAAGGGTCGTCTACAATGGAGAGTTTTAGACTGTAACAGTAAGAAATTGACAAATCACAATCGATTATTCTTTTGTACTTTGTCTGTGATTGGTCAATTTCTTACTATTACGGCCTACAACTCTCCATTGTAGACGGCTCTTTAGGCCTTAGGCCTGTTCATAGACGTATAAGAAATAGACTGCGCGTGTGAGAGGGGAAGTGAGTCAAACTTCGGAGTGAGACAGATGCTTTCACCCTTAGACCATATATACTTATAGACACGGCTTCAGACAACTATCTTGAAGCAAAGATAATAT